GTAATAAATAATACTTATTACATGTTTGCATATGTAAGATATTATTGTAAACATTTAAAATGTATTAACACATTTCATCAGAACAACTGTATGTAATACGTATTACTCTTCCCATCTGAAAGATGAGTAAACGGAAGACCAGGAAGCTTCGGTAGCTTGCCCGCAGATTGTATAAAGTCACCCAGTTGAACTGACTCAAGCCCTTAAAGTTTACTTTCAGCAGGATTAGCAAAAATGCTAGATTATTCGTGGCCATGACAGCTGGGACATCTGGTCGCTGAACCTCGCCAAGGAGATGCGGTGTGAGAAGGTGCTGGGCTGGAACCTGCAGGAGCAACTGTGGCCGCACATGGAAGCCCTGCAGTCTCGGCCTTCCGTCTACATCCCCGAGTTCATCGCGGCCAACCAGACCAGGGGCCTGGATAACCTCGCCCGAGCTGGCGCCCGTAGCAGCTCGAGCAGATCCGCAAGGACATCCCAGACTTCCGGTCTAGCGCGGGGCTGGACAAAGGCACCGGCTGTGGACGGGCAACACAGAGCGCTTCTGTGAGGTGGTTCCGGGCCTCACCGACACGGCCGAGAACCCGCTGCGCACCACTGCGCTCGGGAGGGCTGTGCCTTCCTCAGTGGGTCCCGGCAGAGCACCCTGGTGCCCGGAGCGCTTGAGCTCGCGTGTCAGCGCCGGGTTTTCGTGGGCGGAGGTGACTTCAAGTCTGGCCAGACCAAAGTCAAGTCCGTGCTCGTGGACTTCCTCACCAGCTGTGGCCTCAAGACCATGTCCAACGTGAGTTACAACCACCTGGGCAACAACGACGGCAGAACCTGTGGGCGCCTTTCAGTTCCGCTCTAAGGAGGTGTCCGAGAGCAACGTGGTGGACGACATGGTGCAGAGCAACCCAGTGCTCTATACGCCCGGCGAGGAGCCCGACCACTGCGTGGTTATCAAGTAGGTGGGTACCTGGGCTACAGCAAGCGCGCGGGGTGAGTAAACCTCGGAGCTAACGCTGGGCGGGACCAACACACTGGTGTGCACGACACGTGCCAGGACTCGCTGCTGGCCGCACCCATCACACTAGACCTGGCGCTGCTGACCGAGCTGTGCCGGCGCCTGAGCTTCTGCGCTGACGCTGACCCCGACCTGCAGACCTTCCACCCCGTGCTGTCCCTGCTCAGCTTCCTATTCAAGACGCCGCGGGGCAGCCCCATGATCAGTGCGCTTTTTCGCCAGCGCAGCTGCATCAACATTCTTGGGGCCTGTGTGGGGCTCCC